CTCTGTCTGGCCCTATCATGGGGCGTGGTTCCGATCCGGTCAAAAACACTTGGAATGGGCAGCTCCTGTTTTTTCCAGGGACTACTTCCAACTCAGCCTCACAATTGCACCTGCTGCAGAGCACTATTCCAGCTGAAATGGTTGCTTTTGGTCTTTCCATAGTCTCCTTTGAAACTATTCTGCTTCCACTGGAGCCAGCCTGCATGCTGGTCTGTCCTTCTTCCGTTCTGGCCAATTTAGGTTGACCATGTTAACTTGTGGCTGGGGAAAAGGATCTGTGGTGACAGATGGAGGTTTCTCTGCTAGCTTCAGCCTTCCTGCTGTTATTCCTTCCTGTATGACATCTCTGAAAACAACACAACTATTGGTAGAATGATTCCAAGAATTGTGCCATCTGCAATACTGTCTGCCCTTGAGTTCTTCTGGCTTGGGCATTCTGTGAGGTGTCTCTATTGCTTTCTGTAGCAACATCTCATCGAACAAGGCATCTACTTTGGTCAGATCGAAGGAATACACTTTGTTCTGCATGGGTTTATTTGGAACAAACCCTCCTGTGAATGGTGGCGGCTTCTGATCCCTTGGAGGTTTTGTAAGAGTTTTACAACTGATGGGATGCTTTAATTTTGCCATTTCCGCAACTGCAACCTCTCTCTCCTCTGATTCCTCCGCATCTTCTTCTGACTCTACTTCAATCATATGTATTGAGGAGGAAGGGGATTTATAATACGTGCCTTTGGAAGAGTTTCTCTTCTGCTGTTCCTCTCTGAGCAATTCCTCGTACTTGGCCGCTTTATCTGCCAGTTCTGCCAGATCTCCAAACAGCATCCCATCAAATCTTTTCCTCAGAGAGATTTTGAGGGCAGCCTGAGCCATTTGAATGAAGTGTCTTTCTTCGATGGGGATTCGGCACTTCATTTTGAGCTTCCTGAACCTGTTTATAAAGTCTTGGGCAGGTTCATCTTCACTCTGTTTGAGAGCTGCAAGGTCACTGATGGTGACTTCTGGCTGAATCCTGTAATAGTAGTCATGGAAGACGCTCTCCATTTGCTCCCATGTCTGAATGGAATTTGCTGGCAGAGTAGTGTACCAGGTGAAAGCTTGTCCAGAGAGAGAATTCCCAAAAAGCCTTAGCTTTAGCAGTGGGTTATTCTCTATGGCTATGCATTGGGTAGAAAATCTGCCTACGTGCTCAACTGATGAAGCATGAGGATCCTCTCCGTTGAATAAAGTGAAGTTTGGTACTTTAAAGCCCGGGGACAAGGGTATCTGATCAATGTAAGGTGGATATGGCTTCCTATAGGTGGGTCTTTCCCCCCTCCTTGCCTCAGGCTCCATCATTTCTCTGATCATCCTCTGCAATGCCCCCACGTCATTTAGAGCATTAACAGGGGGAAGGTTTTGTCCCTGTTCTGGCTGGGCATGATTGAATCGTGGTTCTGCCCTGTATGGTCTAGGCAGAGCTTCTTCCCTGTGCTCCTCCGGCTCCTCCAGGCCTGGGTGGTTCCTCCAGTTTGCCCCCTGCCTGTTCCTGTCGTTATTAGCATAGGGGTAATTTCCCCCTCTGCCTCTCCTTCCTCTTGCAGGTGGAGGGAATGGATTGGGGTCCATTCTTCTGGGCCTGTAGGGTACCACTGCTGGATGTTCAGGCAGAACTTCCATAGGGTGATCTTGTGGGGCCGCTTGTTGCGGAGCAGGCTGAGGCTCTTGCTGGTTCTGTAGAACTTGTCCTGGCGCAGGACCTTCTGGCTGTATTGGGGCCAGACGTTCTTGGATAGGAAAAGCCACTTCCCGGTGTCCAGCCTGGTTCCTCCCCGTTCTGGCATCCCAGCTATCTGTGCAATAAGAGGATTCTCTTGATATGGCCATGCCAACCCTGGTGGGGGACCATAGGGAAGGTCTAGTTGCTGGACCACCTCATCGGGATTGGGAATTCTGGCCATGGCAGCCTCTCGATCCTTCCTGAATTGCCTGTTGACCTGCCATTGCATCATGGCTGTCATATTGTTTAGAGTATCCTGGCTTCTTTGTGTTGTGACCTCTTGTCGTAACACAGATTCCTGCATCAGGTTCATCCTTCTGGAACCGGTCCTGGACCTCCTACTCCCTGTGCTGCCATGTGCTGAATGTCGGGCATCACTTTCTTCTGATTCCAGTCCTTCCCTGAGGGCCACTTGGTTTATTTCCACGCCGTGGTGTGGGTTCTGGCCAGAGCTTCCGGTATTCATGAACTGGTGAAGAACTCAATGAGAATATGTATACTGAGATGTCCCACTGGGCGTGCCAAATTGTTCACCCGTTTTGTGTTTACTCCTATGATGGAAGGGCAAAGTTCCCCACTGCCTTGAGAACCATAGACTGGTCAACAAGTCAGCTTTCTTTGGTGTGCGAGCGTGCCACTGCTAGTAATGAACAGTCTAGCAGACTTAGTCTGGAATGGATAACTTGCGCCCCAAGTTACTGATTTCCTTTTACAAGCGATTGTGAATTTGGGTGAGGAATATCTCCCAAGTAAGTTCTTTTCTTGCCTCAGACTGGTGAGGACTTTAACAATTTATCTCAGTATAAAGAGGTTGTTCTGGCCAGAATAGTTGATGAAATTTAAGCTGTTTTTGGGCGGAAGTACCTTTTACAAGACTACAAAAATACATGTCGATGCAAAAAAATAAAGAGATGGCTATATCTCCATTTCTGCCTGGATGGGAGGCTCTGTGATGGGCTGGACTGGGAATGTCTGGGCTGGACTGGATCGTAGACAACTCTGATTGCCCGATTTTCAACTACAAATCGATGCCAAAGGTTGATTCTGGCAGAGCTTTAATGTACCTCAAGCTTTTGCGAAGCTTCCGAGTAGGCAGAACTGCGGTTTCTTCAGTCTGAAAGGGCAGAAGTGGCTGTTCTTGAGGACGTTGGTGAGCTAGAGGCTATTCCGTGAATTTGGCTGGGGTTTTCCATGCTTGGAGGAGGCTCAGACTCTGCTTGTGTTGGTTTTTGCTGAACCAAATTTGTAACGAGAGAAATCTCGTTTTGGATGACTTGCTTCCTAAGTCTGGGTTCTGGGCATTCTGATCTGGGACTGGTTTTTCACTTGAAATTCAAGTGGACTTGTTGGTCGACTCTGAGCTTGTTTATGTGAATGTTTACCTGTGTAGGACCTTTGTTTGGTTGAATGATGAAATTTTGTTGTAAGATTCATTGTCCGTTGCCCTGTTCACTCCTTCTTGTATTTATAAGAGATGTCTTCTGGAGTAGGGTAATTCTTTTAATAATGGGCGGCAAATCCTTTCAAAAAGATTTTCCTTTTTAAAAAAAAATGGAAAAGAAAAGAAAGAAAAAGGTTTCCTCAGTTTTTGGTAGATAGGCTCTCAACAGATAGGCAATCACTTTCCCTGATTTTCTTGAAAAGGAACCTAATCTCTTTCCCAATTTCAACTGCCCCTCGTGATATTTTGCCGGTGATGGTTAGTTTGACTCCTTTTCTGGACAGCTTCCTACTTTCCTGCTTATCCCTCCCTGAGATTGTAACTTGCTTATCTCCTTGGGAGAATTACCTTCTGAAAAGACAGGGGAAAAAATCTCTGAGTATGTATATATATATATCATGTATGTGTAAGAGGGATTTGATCTTTAGCTTTTCCAGAATCAATCTTGATATTATGAACCCTTCAATTACTTCTCCTGTGACAGTTGCCATTGCTGACTTTTCTTTTTTCAGAGAGGTCACGTGGGATTGTTCCTACTTCTGGGCTTTCTTCTTTCTTTTATATTGGGCCTGTGAGGCCCAGATTTGATGAGTTTTGGGCTGGTCTCCTCTGGCTTTTGGGCTTCCATCTTTCTTTGATTTTTTGCAGCTTCATTCTGGGCCTAAATTTTGCTGGGCTGGGTATGCCAATTTGTGGCCCAAACAGGCGTGTCTGCCTTGGTGCTAGTTGTTTTGAGACTGGATATGCTCGGTTGATTATGGTGTAAACAGAGACAATTTACGTTGCAATCCAAACCTTTATGTACACATGTATTCTGTATTCTATGATTGGGTACACTTGGAAGCTAGACAAGTTTTTGTACTTCTACTACTTCATATTCATGTGCTTTTCCTACTTCTCAATGAACGGAATGATGATGGTTGCACTAACTCCTAACCATCAAATTGCTGCAATTGTTTCATCTTTCTTCACAAGCTTCTGGAACTTGTTCTCTGGTTTCCTCATTTCCAGGCCGGTATGTCATTTGAAACTCAGTCATTCTTCTTATTTTCATGTCTGAGAATGTTAAACAGATGTTCAAATTTCTAAGGAACACAGTTCGAGGAGTCGTCTTAATTTATCATTGCAACCATAATAACAATTTATGCTTAATTTTGCAGCTAATCCCAGTGTGGTGGAGGTGGTACTACTGGGGATCTCCAATTGCTTGGACAATCTATGGCATCTTTGCATCTCAATTTGGTGACATTAAGACCGTTATTGATACTCCTCAAGGACCACAGAGAGTGGATCTATACCTTAAGGAAAATCTAGGTTATGAACATGACTTTGTAAGACCTGTGTTCTTCGCTCATATAGGTTGGGTCCTTCTCTTCTTCTTTGTCTTTGCCTATGGTATCAAGTTCCTTAACTTCCAAAAGAGATAAACTACTTCACTCTGCAGCTGAGCTGAGTGACCTTCAGGAAGTCAAATAGATTGTTCAGGGTAAAATTAGCATAGTAGTGAGTCAGGGTAAAATTAGCATAGTAGTGATCTTCAGGACAGCTTTTCCCTATTAATTTGTATAATATGAAAATACTGGTTATGCTCTTCATTATCACTTGAGTGCCAAACTCTTGCAGAATATACAAACAGTACTTGAATTCTATAATCTGGTCTTCATTAAGTGCCAAACTATTGCATAATATACATCAGATTTTGGTTGATAAGGATTGATACTGAGATTGCCATCCAATCAACCAAACAGAAAAACAACAGATTTTGACCTAAGCTACCGGAAAACATAAATTTACAGAAGACTAGAAATTAAGATTTAACTCTGAATGAGGCTGATGTTGTGGTACTTGTAGCAACATGGTTTCAAGAGGCGCCAAAAAATCACTCAAGTCATTGTCATCATCTTCTTGCATCAAACCAATCGCACAATCAGTCAACAGCAACCAAATGTCATCATCAGTAATAGACATACTTGGCCCAACATTAACAACATCATGCCCATCAATTTTCAAACCCTCCGTACCGGAGACGCCATTATGATTAGTACTCTGAGGTTGCAGATCATCTTCCATTACACCATTATCAATTTGATCTTCATCACCCAATACCCAACTGAGAAAATCATAAATAGTATCCACAGTTGGCTCATAATCATCAAGATTATCACGAAACTGCATATCATCTTCCATCAAACCAATCTCACAATCACTCAATAGCAACTTCATATCATCATCACTAATTTCCACACTTGGCACAGAAGGTGGTTGCGGCTGCAGCTGCTCTTGTGGTTCTTCTGGCAATTCAAGATCATAAAGTTGCAGATAATCTTCCATTAAACCAACATCATTATGATCATCATTACCCAATACCAAACTGAGATAATCATTTGCATCCACAGTTGGCTCATGAATTGATGAAAGATAATCTTGCTGAAATTGACCAATTAAATTGGGTTTGGGTGTGGGTATGACGACATTACCTGGATCAAGATTCAAATTAATCTGACCAATTAAATTGGGTTTGGGTGTGGGTATGACGAGATCACCTGGATCAAGATTTAAATTAATCTCACCAATTAAATTGGGTTTGGGTTTGGGTGTGGGTATGACGAGATCAGTTGGATGAAGATTCAAATTAAGATTAAGAGATGATTGTTGTTGTTGATCTGCTGCATCTGGTTCCATGATATTCTTGTACAAGTCCATGAAACTGCGCTTACCGTCATCCCTCATCATCATCATCTTCATCGTCACAGCTCCGATCCTCTCATTCAAAGACTCCAACTTGGCCCCCAAGCAATTATCTTGAATACCCAAATCCCGATTTTCTCCATCATCAACAAATTCCAAGAAACCCTTTTCGACAGAGAACAGACCCTTTTCAATTTGATCTTTGAAACCCCTCTTCAGATTCTTGTACTTGAGTATAACTGATTTCAAATCTTGTTGGTTTTCCGGCCAATCGTTGATCTTGCCGTCGGCACCAAGAGCGATCATGTAAACGGCAATATCGCACAGCTTCGAGAGTCGGCCGGCCTTATTCTTCAGAGTGGAGCCTCTCTTGGCCATGGCAGTTTTCCGAGGCTTCATAGCATCAGAGACCCTTTTCATCTTCATGGACGCTGAAACCCTAGGGTTTGATTTAGGAAGAGCCATAAATCAATAAATCAATTTCGAGTGGAAATTAATTGAATAACAGAGAGATTAGCAATGTAGTCAGTGCGATTAATTAGCGACTGATCAAAACTTGTAGAGAATGGCAGTGAAAGGTAGCGAATGTAGCGATCGTGAGAAATGAGAGAGCGTGAGCGAGGAAGGTGAGAGTATGGCGGTATTTATAGAATCTGTGACCGAGGGTATAGTTGGTATTACAAGGAAAGTAACCGTTACGCGGAAAGTAGTATATCATCACACTATCGGTGTTACAATAAATACAGTATTTTATTGTCTTATTTTATTTTGTAGAGTTTTGTTTTTTTCCTCTTTGCAATTGAATAATTTGTTTGTAGCTTTCTTTTTGCTTAACAATTTGTTTGTCGATTCAATAGAAGTTGCTCATACTGTAAATAACTCATAAACTTTCTAAATCTGTGGCGGGAAGTATAGAATGTAAATCACTACATTTTCATGAGGCATATAAAAAAAAAAAAAAAAAAAAAAAAAAAAAAAAAAAAATTTCAGGTTCCTCTTTACGCTTTTTCTGATATAGAATTCTTGTTTATCCTATTGATGATGCATCTATCTCTACTACATATTACAATATTATTTGTCTAATGCTAATGGTAATAGTAATGCAAGGGTGGAACCATGAATTTTTCAACGGGTGGGCTAGTTAAAGTTATTAGCTTAAAGAAATATAAGTAATCTTAGTTAAAGGGTTATGTGTGAGTGGAATACGTGTTTGTTTGAAATATTCTGAAATATAAAGATGATCTACTTATAACTATGGACAAGTTCTCTTCTGAAATATAAAGTTTCTGAAAATATTTGTAATAACACAATAACTAAGATTAATAACTAAGGACAAAACAGATAAGGAATTGAACAGAACAAGAACACAGACAAACAAACAACATGCAGTTTTCATTATGTCCAAATATAGCTTTTAGGATCACACTTGATAAGAAATTCAAACATAACAAGAAGAAAATTACAGATAAAAACTAAAACTTAATAGGCTGCTGCTCCTGTGGGTGTTGTAGCAACATTGTTTCAAGAGGGGCCAAAAAATGGCTCAGGTCATCATCACAAAACTGCAAATCTTCTTGCATCAAACCAGTCTCACATTCACTCAAAAGCAACCTCAAATCATCATCACTAGTAATACTATCCATACTTTGCACAGAAAGTGTTTGCTGCTCCGGCTGTTGTGGTTCTTCTGGCAACATTGTGTCAAGATCATAGAGTCGCAAATCATCTTCCATTACAGCAATATCGTTATGATGATCACCGCCCAATACCCAACTGAGAAAATCATCAAGAGTATCAACCGTTGGCTCATAATCATCAAATTCGAAACCATTATAGGGTAGTTGTTGATCTGCGGCTTCCGGTTCCACAGAACTCTCCACGATCCTCATCTTCCTCATCACAGCTCCAATCCTTTCGTTCAAAGCCTCTAACTTGGACCCCAAGCAATCATCTTGAATACCCAAATCCCAATTTTTTCGATCCTCAACAATTTCCCAGAAACTCTTTTCGGCCAAAACCCTCCTCAGCTTAGAGAGTTCGTTGGTCTTCTTCTTCCTCAGAGCGGAGCATCTCTTGGCCATGGCCGTTTTCTGAGGCTTCATAGCATCAGCAACCCTCTTCATCTTCATGGCTTCTGATTTCTTAGGGTTTGATTTAGGAAGAGCCATTGATGAATTAATTAATCAATTTCGAGTTGAAATTAATTAGATCAACAGAGAGATTAGAGATGCTGCAAGTGCGATTAATCACCAGACGATCAAAAACTCAGACAAATTTAACTGTTGTGGAAAGTAGTGAATATCGATGGTGATGAGATGAGACAGTCACAGAGAGCTATAGCGGCATTTATAGACTTTGAGATTAAGGGCATAATGGATATTATACCATACTCCTTCCAACGGGAAAGCAGCTGTTAGCCATAAGGGAGTAATGACCAGTCTGTCCTCTCCTTATCCTTAATTCATAAATTGATTTTGTACAGCTAACAAGTAAATGAGAAACTCAATCGGACAACTAACACATTTTTTATTTATTTCTCTTCCATTTTTTCAATTGACAAATTTTTTTTCTTTGTAAGAAAGGAAAATTTTTTATATTTATTCTGAAAAAAATTTCAAAGGAAAATCACAGTAAATGCAAATGATACATATATAAGTTTGTAATCCTATGTTTACGATGATTTAATGTTTGTCTCTTAAAATGGGCCTATTTGTGGAAAGCCCATAAGTCAAGCCATTATGTTCAATCTTAGTGAATATTCAGTACTTGAAATGTGCTTAATGATTACGATTGGTCAATATTTATCATTGAGCTGAAAATTGTTCTCATAAATGTATAAGTTTATGAAAATATCTGTTAATTATGTAACTGAGATTAATAACTTTAATTGGTTTTATACATCATTAGAATGGTCGAGATTAAGGATATAAACCAAAATTAAAATATGAATTATGACAAAATTTGAAAGTTGAGAATCGCCAAGTGATCATCCTTAGCTTTCATTGGCTCCGTCGGTGACTTCATCACAACAATAAACTTAAGAGATTTTGACCCCCAAAAAAGAAAAAGCTCTTTTTACCGAAATAATTCATATCACTTTTCTATTTTATTTTATTTTTTTAAAAAGAGATAATTTTTTACCTTTGATTAAATCAATTTTTATATGCATGGCAAACTCTATTAAGAAATAGCTAGTGTTAAACTCGCTTAGATTTGTTTATCAAAGAAAATTGCTAGGAAGACCACTTTTTATATAGGATTGGGTTTATTTATAAATTTGTATTTTATATACCCCTTGTGAGAGTCTAACTCGACACCCATGACACTCGGTTAACCCACGAGTGACCATCAGTCCCAACCCTATCACCTCTGAACTCGACTAGGACACCCTCAAGCCCGAACCAATAACTACCGATCCACACCAATGATCGTCAGACTCGATCCCATAACTAGGGCTCAAATGGGTTGCATGTGTTCACTGACGGAAGAGTGCCAACTCTATTTTTTATTGGGTTCTGGGTTTAAAACCCAACCACATCTCATGGCCCAACCCATTTGAGCCCAATGCCACTTGGCATGTCTAGGCCCTCCTGTTTTATATTTAAAATACAATTTGCAAATATTAGGTCCATAGTATGTATGCGAGCGAAATGGCGAGGTCCAAACCAACTCAAGCTCGAATCTTTTAGGCCAAACTAGTCTTGCGAGACCCATTGACAAACCCATACCTGTAAGACCACCAGACCCGACGCAATGACCTCCGAAGCCTACCCGTTGATTGGCCAACCGAGCCAGACCCGAGGACTTTTTTCCACACTTTTACATCCAACGAAGTGACCACTGAACCTAATCCAGTGATAGTGGGCCTAACCCGATGTAATTAGGAAAGTCATGCTGAGCCTGAGCCTATACCAAGATTGCAAGTCACTCTAAAATGTACCCTACACTGAATTATTATTATTTTTTTAAAAAGAAGAAGAAACATCTGATATCCATTTTAGCTTTCAAACGGGAATTTTTTTTTAAAAAGGCAATTATAATTACTCATGCATTATTTGGTGAATAAATTTAGGGGAAAAAGTTGGTGCCTCTTGTGTTATTACATTAATATTTTGCCAAAACATGTTCCCCTACTCAAGAACTAATGTTCTTTCTTTCTTTCTTTCTTTCGCTTTGTTTTCAATTACTTGTCAATAATTATATTTGAGCAGCCCTGTGATCCATGAAATTTCACGACTGAATTTCCAGAAAGCAAAATTTGTGACGGATTTGCTCGCTGACCCGAGTTGATCAATGTGTTTTTCTTTTGTTGTTACATTTCCTTTCTTTTATGTTGCCAGTAGAGCTTGTTTAATGTAATGTATTTAGAATGCTTTAAATCCCCCAGCGAGATTTAAAGAACAAGACAGAATAATCGATTGCTTTGCTGTAACTTCACGCATTTAAATCATTGTATGTGAGTTGGATATAATGCTAGCTATTTGTCCTTCATTTTAAAGCAAAAGCACTTTAGTCGTATCCATATTCGGAATCTGGTTGCTTGTACTTGTTTTTGTTTATCTTATCAATCAAATACTCTCACTTTTCTATCTATAAAAATAAAAATAAAGCAAAAGCACAATATTCCATCACATCCATAAATATATATAATTTCAAATAGCATTGTTTTCCAACACCTGCTCTAATTCTGACTTCATAAATATGCATATGAAAAGTGAGATTCTTCTTCCACATCCATACGCCTTCTCTTCTCTCTGCTTCTCTCTCTCAGCAGTCAGCAATATATCCAATGGCTCAGGCATAGACTTTCTTCTGACTAAGAAAGACTGATCGCTATATACATTCTGCCTGTCACGTTTTTTGTGAAGATTCCCAAACTTGTTAGTTTCCCTTTCACTATTCATTTATTCATTCATTGCTGGTGCCACTGTGTATTCTCATACGCATGCATATATAGTGTGCATGAATATATTTGGCCAATAAGAAAAAATAGTTGATATTCTTTTGGATTTGTTAGTACCTATCTTGAATTTCTGGTGGCCGGAAACTTTAAAAATGGCGGGAGCATTGGCCGGAGATGGCCTGGTGCGGTCCGCAAGTAACATGAGTTGGCGGACGATAAGCCTTAAAGATATGTGGAATGAGCAGCCAGACGTGTTCCAGAGGAGTGGAGCGGCTGAAGAGGAGGAGGAGGAGCTGAAGTGGGCGGCCATAGAGCGGCTGCCTACATATGAGAGGATGAAGAAGGGGATGATGAGGCAGGTGATGAGCAGTGGGCGAGTGGTGCATGATGAGGTTGATGTTACTAAACTTAGGACTGAGGACAAGAAGCAGTTGATGGACAGCATATTAAAAGTTGTGGAGGATGATAATGAGAAGTTCCTCAAGAGGCTCAGGGACAGAACGGACAGGTTAGTATTTTCTTGTCTACAATGTTTTGAATCATTGTGTTATTTTGGGTGGTGAGGAATAGAGGAAAAGTAAGGAAGTTCAACTTTAATCTTGTCAGTTTTTGTTTTTTCTTTAATTTGGTCTCAATTTAGGCATTAATTAGGGACTTGCTGACTTTTTTGAATAATTTTTATTTCTGGGAAATAGGGTGGGAATTGAGGTTCCTAAGATTGAAGTGAGATTTGAGCACTTATCAGTTGAGGGAGATGCATATGTTGGGACCAGAGCACTTCCAACTTTGTACAATTCCACCTTGAATGCAATAGAGGTATAAATTTTCACATTCTTCAACCTTTGTCTGCATTATATGCGTCAAAATGGAATTTCCCTTAATGATCAGATAGTTTACAGTTTGAAATTACAGATTAGTAGTTTCATGTTCTTGCTTATTTCTTTTGTTTTTAGTTGCATAGAGGGTTCTTTCTTTTTCTCATAAAGTTGCAATTTGTATAGGGGGTTCTTGGACTTGTTGGACTCTCTCCGTCAAAGAAAAGGGTAGTCAAAATACTTCAAGATGTGAGTGGAATAGTGAGACCATCAAGGTATATTCCATATATTATAGTTGTTTGCAAGATTATAATAGCATTTTAGCTTTCACGATGCGATTTTTCGTGTTGTAGATGCTAAAAAAACCTTGTGCTAGCTACAATTGGTATACTTAGATTAGCATTGCCTGTCAGAAGAACAGAAGTTGTTGCTACTTAAATAGACTTGATGTTGCCTGTTGTCAATTTTGGATTCTGAACTTCCTTCTTCATTTATTGTGAATTGTTCCAGAATGTGCCTACTTCTTGGACCGCCTAGCTCAGGTAAAACAACATTTTTAAAGGCACTTTCTGGGAAGCTTGATGATGATTTAAGGGTATGTCTTCTTCTCTCAATCTCTTTCACTGTGTGAGGTCATTTGTTTGTGTTTGTGTATGTGTGTGCTTGTGCAGGAGTGTTTTTTGTGTTTGTGTTTGTGTCCGCAATTCCAAGTCCACTTACAGGTAAAATGGGTGAACAGGTAACTGGGAAAGTCACCTATTGTGGCCATGAATTGTCAGAATTTGTTCCTAAGAGAACTTGTGCTTATATTAGCCAGCATGATCTTCACTACGGTGAGATGACAGTTCGTGAGACGTTGGATTTCTCTGGACGTTGCCTCGGAGTTGGAACCAGGTATGAGATGTTGGTAGAGGCATCAAGGCGTGAGAAACAAGAAGGTATAAAACCAGATCCTGAGATTGACGCATTCATGAAAGCGACAGCAGTGGCTGGCCAGAAAACCAGTTTGATCACAGATTATGTTCTCAAGGTTAATTTGTTGCCCTGACATGAAACCAGTGTTTTCATCTGCTGCTCTAAAGGCATAACATCTATTGATGCTTTAACAGATACTTGGATTGGATATTTGTGCTGATATTATGGTGGGGGATGACATGAGACGGGGCATCTCTGGAGGACAAAAGAAGCGTGTAACTACTGGTACGTGTTAATTTTATAAGGAACTTCTGCACTGTTGTAATAAAGGATGCAAATCTTTAAAAATAAAGCTCTTGGACATGTTTGATCAATTTATTTTAAATGCAAAAGTATTAATGTACAAAGTTCCTATGATATATAACTTTCTCTCTTTCTCACATACACGCACAGACGCACGCATACACACATGTATATGGACTTGCCTTCTCTTTATATTAATTTGTAGATATCTTATTCTTTTCATCTGATCCTT